ATGTCTTGCTAAAAGGGCATTTATCTAGATAGAGGGGCAAAAGGGCAGGTGATTCTGCACCACCTGGGATCTACCTGTGCACATGCCTGACTTCTTCTAACACTGGCAATACCAACATTTCCAGTAACCCTGAAAAGCAGACTGATGAAATGTTAATGGATGTGTTAATTTCCAAATAGGTATTTTAGTCGCTTGTTTTGAGACCAGGGACAAAAGCATTCATTCAGAAAGTTACATCGCTGACACTTAAAATGTTCAACTTTGCTATGATGCACTATCTCAGTCTGTCTCTCTTCATCTGTTGTGGAGTTTTTTTCTCTGTACAGAGCATTTGTTTTTAAATCTTCACCTCCACAAGTCAATGGTTAGTTGCTGCTCTGTGTGCACAACAGGAAACCACGGGCTCTGTTTTCATGAACCCAGCAGCGCAGCCAAATCACACCCACCCAGTGCATCAGGAGCATGCCAAATGCACTTTTGGTAACTTCATGGCCAGGCTCGCCTGGCACTCCTAAAAAGTATTGGACAGGAGCATAGCCATCATTTCAGAATTATTGGGGACAGATTGTTCAGGAGTAAGATGATTTTTTTTGATGATTTTTAAAAAATTCTCTCCCATTCAATTGCACTTGTTCTTAGCAGCTAAGCAACCAAACTTAATAACTAAAAACACCTGATGACTAGGGAAAGAGGTCATCTTCTGCAGTGGGTAGCCACAGTACATCAACCACGGACTGACTCAAGTGCTTTAATTAATTATCAAAATCATAAATTAAATGATGAAATAAAAACTCAGAGACACCGAGTTCTAGCTGTGTTGACACAAATGACCCTCAAGGCTCAAGATGATAAGTAGCCATTTATTAAAGTGCAATTAAAAAAATAAAATAGTAACACCACATTAAACTCCCGTAAAACATCCTTCCTATCATCCATCATCCTATTTTGCAGCGTATGTCAAGACACCATACTGTCCTCAGTGCTTTTCACCAGGCTGCTGCTATTGGAAGTTATTGCGGCTGTCTGTATACCTATCTAGTCTAGGTGAAGCACCCAAACGTGTTTCTGCGCCTCTCCTTAGCTGCAATGAATCGCTCAGTCTCCTTTTTAAGCAATCCAGTTTATCTTTGTGAATATGACACACAGCAACACTGTTGAGCTAAGACTTTATCATTGTGCTTCAGAGCCAGGTTCTGAGGACCATTAAAGCTTCCTTAAGCCTCAGAAAAAGAAGCTGGCACCATATGATGCAACTGCACAAGTACTTCCATTTGGTCAAAGAAGCCGCTAACTTCTGGCAACATTCTGTGCAGATGTGAAGCCCTGACTGTATCTGACTGATTTTTAATGACAGCTGTTGTCTTGATTTTTTGTTTTTCCTCCTGAACATATTACCCATATAGTCAGTGACAATTGATTTAACCTATGTAGTTGAGGGGACAGGTGTGCTTTGCAGCAACAAACTGATATAATGCTGATTTACATGAGAATTCATGTAAATTGGAGGTTGAACCATGAACATAAATTACAGATCGCCTGTAAAGCATTCTAATGCTCAGTCTATCATAATTAAAACAATTGGAGACTAGAGACAAACTGATATATGAGTCTAATAACATTATCACATAATACATAATAAATTGACATCATATCGGACAGGATGTAAGTCTTTTGACCAGGCAAGGCAGCCAGCCCTGATGGTATCACAGCAGGTATCATCAGGCTGTGCACTAATGAACGGTGTGGAGTACTCCATTATGTTTACAACTTGAGCATGGGTGTAGAGAGACCCCCAGCAGCATTGTAAACATCATGTTTAATACCTGTGCCAAAGAAGAGCCACCCCAGGGAATTAAATGATTACAGACCTGTGGTGTTAACTTCCACCTCATGAAGGTTCTGGAGAGGCTCGTGCTGGTTCGCCTCCAACCCCAGGTGAAAGAACATCACGACCCCCTGCAGTTTGGCTACCAGGCGAATATGGGAGTGGACGATGCCATCCTTTACCTGCTCCATCGGATCCACTCCCATCTAGAAACATCTGGCAGCCCTGTGAGACTCATGTTTTGTGATTTCTCAAGTGCTTTTAATACCATCCAGCCTATTCAATTGAGGGAGAAGATGTTCAATATGTACAATACACACGTGCTGATCTCATCTACTTTCCAGGCGAGGCGCAGTTCATCTCGAATGAGCCTATCCACCTTATTCCTGAGGGCACTACTGTAGAAATGATTATGTGCGCAACTTCCCGTGAGATAGCAGAAGTAGCAGTAAGCTAGTTATTCCCATAGTGGCTAACCGTCAATGCTCATTCTTTTCGAAAGTAATTTGCCTTCAGTTTAGCAAATACTGATTTATTTTTTAACAAATATTAAACGAAAGTTAACTTAGCATTTTCTAAAATGTCTTTGCGGAGCTCTGGTACCTGTTGCACTGTCCGTGTCTGTAACAACTAACAACCAGTCTAAGCTAAAACTTGGTCTTCAGCAACTGTGTGTTGAACACGTAACCAGAACAAAAAGCCTCAATAAATCAGAAGTTAAAAAAATGTGTAAACTGCGTCGTTAACGCAGATGAGCTGAGGATTAGCTGGGAAACATCACATTTATTCACTTTACATGGAGCTACAGTTAATACTGAATTATTTTAAATGTTTGCCAAATGCGTAAGTATCTCTTAATGAGATACTTACGCATGAAGTATCTCTTAATGAGTCATCAGAAATCATCTTTAGAATGAGCAGATATGAACAGACCATGTTAAAGTTAACAATATTTTAACAGAGTAAGGCAAGCTAATTGCTAGCGTGCTCGGTTGAATGCAAAAAAGACAACAATGCTTTGAGATGTCTGTCAGAGATGGCAGAGGTATGATCACATAATCCTCTTTGAGCTATAACAGGTGGTGTGTTCCACATTTTATTTCCCAATTGCTCTTGGAAAGAAGAATACAGTACTGTAAACAAACTGTTACCACTGGAAATCGCCAGTTTCGGTTCAACACCGGAAGTCACACACATAATTCCCGCAAGGGATCATGGGGGCTAGGAATAAGGTGGATAGTCTGACAGCAGCAGGAAGGAAGGACCTGCAGTATCTCTCTGTCAAACACCGCGGGTGAAACAGCCTGTCACTGAAGGAGCTGCCCAGTGCATCAATAGCATCATTTAATGTCAGACACTGTTATCAAAAACTGCACAACTCAGCTGACATTGCTTGCCTCTTGCTGGCTTGTTTGCTGTACATTTTTTCTGCAAACATAAAATACAGTATCCGTACAACCTCCCCACTCGTGCTTACAGAGGGAGCATGCCTCTCTACTGTCATGACAACAGAAGAAGCAGCAGCATGTACCTTGCCCACCCACTCATGGTGTCTTCAGGATATCTTTGAAAAACGAGCGCTCACTTGTTAAATTGAATTCAATGGCTTTCCAACACAATTTACAGTACAGAAAAGTTCCAGGGACATAGGGGACAGACATGGCAGCTACAAAGGTCATGTACCCCGTGTACCCTGAAAAGTATAGTAATTCCTGGTCAATTACTACTCTGATACAAGTGAAAGTTATGGAGTCAAATTGTTACTTGATTTAAAGTGCTGGAGTACTTACCTTTTTATTTTATCTATTTATTAGTTTGTTTGTTTTTTATCTCATTGCATTGTTGTACACACACACAACACCTGGTCCTACATGAATTCAAAGCTAAAGTGAAAATGCTGAATAAAAAACAATCTAACAGTGTATGACAAGTTGCTGACAAATCCATAAACAGTCATTTGACCAAACAGCACAAAAACTGCAGCCACTACAAGCGTAGACAACTGTGTTTAAAATATTTATCTCGAATAAAGTACATGTTTACAGACCACCAAATGTTTTCACGGGTTGGATGCCAAATTCTTGTAGGCTATGATGAAGTTTGTGCACTGTAATAAGAGCAATCATTTTAAACAATACAAATAATTCTTCATCTTAAAAACTCCAAACATGGACCTGAGGTTTGGCCATCGGTGATCTGGAGAGGAATCTTCATCTCCATCTTCTGCTGAAATCATAGTCTTAATATTGTCTTTTTATGTCTTCAAATGTAGTGAAGTCAAAGTAAAAAGTTTCCAAAAAATACTCAAGTAAATGTACTTTGTTACTGTACACCACTGCTGAGATGCACTGACATATGGGGTGGGATATTTTATAAGGGAATGTGTGAAGAGCTATGAAAATCATGGCCAGTCATATTTAGGACTTTTGTCCACATTAAACACAGACTCTCCCCCTATTAGGACGCACTGACAGTTTGGGAATCCTGTGGAGAGAGTTCCTCACAGGAAACATATAACTGTCTAGGACCCTCAGATTTTCAAACAGGAATACGGCAGCTCAAACATACCAATATGACAAGAGCAGATGATTACTGTTGTTAGATGAATTCACTTTTGTGGGCATGTTGAAGGTCATCGTGGTCATCATATTTATGCTTCAGTTTATCTGTCATCACAAGGTTTTATATATACAGTATATACATACATACATATATATATATATATATATATATATATACACACATATATATTAGGGCTGTCTAATCTAATTAATTACATGTGTGTTGGTGTAATCGCATACATCAACTTTCGCTAATGGGACGTATTGAAAAAAATTCAGTTCAAATGAATTTTAGCAGATGTGTCATAGTAAAGCTGCTGGATTTTCAACACAATTGCCCTCCTATCCTCTACCACCGAAATTGCTTTACAGTCCATTGCAATCCATTTTGCATCAAAGGCTGTGCTAGTTCGGACCTCTGGATTTGTTGCGAAATGCTTTGCGTTGAGGTGATATTTCAGGCTTGACATGCTGCGATGGTACGAAAATTCCTTACTGCAGAAATCACAGAGAACGGTGCTCCTATCACCAATTCCATCTGGGCATCTTTTAAATGTAAATATTCCATTCACTTTTCTATTCACTATTGGAAAAATGCTATTAAAGTAAAACAGTTTTTATTATGTGATTTATTTTTATTGATTGTCCAACTTGATAACATTCTGTGTTACATTACAAACATTTGTTACCACTTACAGTATGTGATATGCTCTACAAATAACAACACTGAATACCTGACTGCTAATACGATATGGTTCGACATATATTGAGCTGCATCACCTTTAGTTATGTGTAATTCTTGTTGTACATGATATGCATGAATAAATTGCAGGAAATAGCCAGTTACAACAGTTTAAGCTCAGAAGTGGGCCTGGTAGGCCAGTAGATATCCATCGTTATACATGTAGATCATCCTGTTGGTGGGGTTATAGCTCAGGCTGGCCACTCCTTTAGCTACCTTCTCCATTGGCAGTGCCAGTGAGTTGTCTTCTTTGCCTGTTGCTGTGTCGAAGGCGTAGAACACCTCCTCGCTGTGTTCGTCAACATAACGAGTGGCATAGAGCACACCGCACACCATGAAGGCATTGCTCACTGCCCTCTTGAAAATCCTTGTCTCCCATGTCTGTGAGACATTAAGTGTCTCAGCCTCATTGTCCCAAATTAGCCGGCTCACCACTAGATTACCATGGTTACCAACAGTGGCATAGAGGGCCCATAGTCCCATCTCATCTGCCTCTATATCCACATCAGTATTGGCCCGGCAGTCATAGTAACAATATGGGAACTTGTTGTTGAAGCCCACGCCAGTTCCTGGCAGTGTCACCCGCTTGACAGTGTTGCTGTTCAGGTCATAGCGGCAGACATCTGCAGAGCGGTAGCAGTGGTAGTACAGTGCTTCACCATATAAAGTAGCACTGGGACCCTCAATGGCGTCTGCGTGAGTGTAGGATGGAGCAAAGGTAAAGTCCCTATGGTTGGCGGAGGCCATGAAGTCTTCATGGGTTTGATATACGCGCAGGGTGTTGCCCCAGATGTGGCTGTTGAGCAGAGGCTGAACCCAGTAGCTGTTCCTCTGCCCTTCACTGTCCACCTGGGCCTGTTTGCCCCAAGATCCAGATATATAGCTCTTACCATAGGGACTGACCTTGGTCGTGACAGGATCGCTAATGTTGGACATCAGGCCTTTGAGGCAGTGCGGGTACTGACCTGGAAACAGAGATGAGAAGGCAAATGTCCAGCACAGTTTATAATATCATCTATCATCTCTCTCTCTCTCTCTCTCTCTCTCTCTCTGTCTCTGTATATATATATATATATATATATGTATATATATGTGTACATACATACATATATATGTATATATATATACATATGTACATGTACATGTACATATACCACATGCTTTTGTTCAGTGGCGGTTCTAGCACATTTAAAAAACAAACAAAAAAAAAAACATGTTTGCTGCAGCTCAATAGTCAAAGTACTGCACATTTGTTACGAAAATGCCAAATTACCAAATTTCAGTACAGTAACGTGGTACATGTGTTATAATAATCATATAAATCAATTATCAGATTATCTTGTTCAGAAGAATAAACAATAAAATAATATATGACATTCGTAAGTGCTAATAGCGTAGGCAACTGGACTTGCTTGCGTTTCTTGAAGACGTTTCACCTCTCATCCAAGAAGCTTCTTCAGTTCTGAATGACTGGTACAAAGTCGCAGGCTATAAACCTTGTGTGGGTGGGAACCCTTGCAGAGTCATAGGGGTCACGTGAGCTCTTAGTTTCAGAGTCGTTAAGGTCACAATGTGAGTCGTTGACCCACCTGGCCACCATGTGAGTCGTTAGGGTCAGGTGGGACCAGGGGTGAATAGGTGTGAAATTGTCTGGGGAGGGATCCCGAGACTGCATTGTAGGTGGGTGATAAGTAGTGTCATAAGCCAACCCATCTGTTTGTGAAGTCATCTGAGGAGGGATCAACTAGCTACGGTATTAGCACTTACGATTACCATGACCTGGATGACTGAGAATCTTCACCGACAATATATGACATGATAAAGTAATAATAAAATGTACAAATTAACTTTCTAATTGAACTAGAGATCCACCAATTTTGAAATTCTGGGCCGATACTGATACCAATGTTTAAAATAACAATTTGGCCAATAGCCAATTTTGTTTGTTTGTTTGTTTGTTTGTTGTTGTTCATTCTTTCATTCTTCTTTTGTGCCAGGGAAACACAGTAATCTACACAATAAAACATAAATGAACAGTTTTTTAAGTCATTCAGTTCGTCATTACACTACCTTTGAATAAGCACAAATTCAATAATACGCATTTACGAAACAACCTTTAACATAACCTTTCGTGTGTAAAACATCTTTTTAAAAAAAAAGCCAAAGGCCTTTTTTATGATAAATGATACATCATAATTCCCTCTCAAATATCTATTTCATAGTGCTGTGAAAACATAAACAAATTTCTCCTTCAAACAGCTGTATTTATTCAAGTTTACAAGATTTTGAACACATGAGAGCGTTGTAATTTACCCTCTCCTAATACTCATTTTTACTGAACAGAGCTTGAACGCTTCTCAATTTAAATAAATGCAACCTATATAAGATGTTCCACTGGCTGCTTAGAGGTAGAAATAAGCTCTCTGTTTTTTTACATGTTCTGTCTGTGCACATCCACTTCTCTCAGTAGTGTAGTGGTAGATGAGTGGGCACCAGAGAGTTTTCGTCGCTTTCACATGATAACGATACAGCGTGTTTCAGGCTTCATGTGACATCAGATAAGTGTGACAAGCTGGGGAGGGGGGTCAGGCAGGAACTCAGAAAAAAAGGCCTCTCTATTATTTAGTAGACTTTGCTATGTAGTTATGTTGTTATGGCCTCATGTAATATTTCAAAATAATAGTTGTAATAGTATTACTAAAAAATAGTAAAAGTTAAACATTTCGATTTTTTTTCTTTCCCCATTTGTGACGCCCCCTATGGATGACAGTGCCCTCAGCATTCACCTATACTGCCAATGCGATGGGCTGGTACTGGCTTTACTTTGCAAGGAAATCAACATAAGTACAGGGTGTTTTAGCAACGTAAGTTTATTTTGAAAAAGACTGTATGCATCTAACAAATGAAAACAGAAGTGTATTTTGGAAAGACACACTGCATGTCACAAGCGTACATTAACATGCAGTCCCCAAATACCAACAACAGACATAGTAGGATACCTAGCATGTAATATGTACACGTGAAAGTCCACTGACAAAGTGGTGATATCTGACGAGCTGGGATGAAAATGTGTTGTGTGTCCCCTAAGGTAACTGAAGTCATATTGTCTCACTCACACACACACACACACACACACACACACGCACACACTTACCTCTGAAGTCTTTGGGGATTGACTTGCAGGATTCAGCAGTGTTCTTCAGATAGCGCAGTTTCTCTTTGACAGTCTTCATGTTAATTGTGTCTGACATTTTCATCCTGACTACATCTGCACGCAGTTTACCCACCTAACACACACACATTTACAACATTGCACACAGACAATTGACATGATGAATATGGTAACCCTTCACATTTAAACTTAAAAATATTTCAAATAACTCAGTTATGTCTTCATATGATCATATTAATTCTTTTGATAAATCACAAAATTTCGGTTGACCCTTTTCTTTCTGTTTTATACTCATGACATGACACTATAAGCTAACATGATACAGCATTCTTATTTATATATATTATTTTACTCTTTGCTGTGTTATATTGCTATTTGCTAATGCAACAGCCCAGTTTTTACATAGAGTTTAGTCGTTTTACTTTATGATACTCATGTAGGCTATTGCTCTGCAACTTGAGGAATCACTTTTTAGTCATGTTGGTGTTTAGTTTCCATGTTCTGCCATACCTCTTTGGAGAGTGTCCGTGTTTGGGTGTTGTTTAACTGGCTGTGGATGGAGACAATGTCTGTCTCCAGCTGGCTGAGCTCCTGGCTCAGCAGGTGCAGAGACAAGTCTGTGTAAAGGCCCTGGTTGTGCAAGTACTGGTGAGGCTCCAGTCGGTCTGTCAAATTCTTGATCAGAGCCAGGATCTCAGGGAGCCGCTGGCTGGATAGCTCTACCTGCAGGGAAGCACAGAAAAAAACTCTTGGGCTTAATGTGCTCTCAGGATTCCAGTTTCAAGTACAAGAAATATTCAAGGAATGACCTTCTTTTTTTTTTAAAGATATGTTTTTGGGCATTTTCGTCTTTAATGGATAGGACAGCCAAGTGTGAAAGGGGGAGAGAGAGAGGGGGATGACATGCAGCAAAGGGCCATAGGCTGGACTCGAACCCGGGCCGCTGCGGCAACAGCCTTGTATATGGGGCGCCTGCTCTATCCACTAAGCCACCAACGCCCCAGAAATGACCTTCTTTTTACTGGACACTGTGTCTATAAACAGTCACAAGACATGCAAGGTGGGTGAATTGAAGAGTCCAAATGCTGACAGTAATCATAATAATCACAATTATATAATTAATACTTAATCCATATAATGATAATAACCAGTGCCAGACACAGACATTTGCAGGGCAAGAGATCATGTGGAAAAAAGGATATCCTTTCTGAAAAATTTCACTTTCTACATATATCATTTATCTGAAACAAGCAACAATAAAGAAAACAATGCCACAATGTACACACATTAGTGGTCTATGAAGTAAATAGCAATCACAACAGCATTTGAGTCGAGCCCTTGCCCCTCTCTCTTCAATTTCACTTGTGACAGCAGCATGCAAATCGAGTGCCCTGCAGAGCAGCATCACGTCTCCCTGACCTGCCGTCATGCACAGCCAGGTAACGATAGTGTTTGCCCCAAACTCCGGCATACAGTACAGGCCAAAAGTTTGGACACACCTTCTCATTCAATGCGTTTTCTTTATTTTCATGACTATTTACATTGTAGATTCTCACTGAAGGCATCAAAACTATGAATGAACACATGTGGAGTTATGTACTTAACAAAAAAAGGTGAAATAACTGAAAACATGTTTTATATTCTAGTTTCTTCAAAATAGCCACCCTTTGCTCTGATTACTGCTTTGCACACTCTTGGCATTCTCTCCATGAGCTTCAAGAGGTAGTCACCTGAAATGGTTTCCACTTCACAGGTGTGCCTTATCAGGGTTAATTAGTGGAATTTCTTGCTTTATCAATGGGGTTGGGACCATCAGTTGTGTTGTGCAGAAGTCAGGTTAATACACAGCCGACAGCCCTATTGGACAACTGTTAAAATTCATATTATGGCAAGAACCAATCAGCTAACTAAAGAAAAACGAGTGGCCATCATTACTTTAAGAAATGAAGGTCAGTCAGTCCGGAAAATTGCAAAAACTTTAAATGTGTCCCCAAGTGGAGTCGCAAAAACCATCAAGCGCTACAACAAAACTGGCACACATGAGGACCGACCCAGGAAAGGAAGACCAAGAGTCACCTCTGCTTCTGAGGATAAGTTCATCCGAGTCACCAGCCTCAGAAATCGCAAGTTAACAGCAGCTCAGATCAGAGACCAGATGAATGCCACACAGAGTTCTAGCAGCAGACCCATCTCTAGAACAACTGTTAAGAGGAGACTGCGCCAATCAGGCCTTCATGGTCAAATAGCTGCTAGGAAACCACTGCTAAGGAGAAGCAACAAGCACGAGAGATTTGTTTGGGCCAAGAAACACAAGGAATGGACATTAGACCAGTGGAAATCTGTGCTTTGGTCTGATGAGTCCAAATTTGAGATCTTTGGTTCCAACCGCCGTGTCTTTGTGAGACGCAGAAAAGGTGAACGGATGGATTCCACATGCCTGGTTCCCACTGTGAAGCATGGAGGAGGAGGTGTGATGGTGTGGGGGTGTTTTGCTGGTGTCACTGTTGGGGATTTATTCAAAATTGAAGGCACACTGAACCAGCATGGCTACCACAGCATCCTGCAGCGACATGCCATCCCATCCGGTTTGCGTTTAGTTGGACCATCATTTATTTTTCAACAGGACAATGACCCCAAACACACCTCCAGGCTGTGTAAGGGCTATTTGACCAAGAAGGAGAGTGATGGAGTGCTGTGGCAGATGACCTGGCCTCCACAGTCACCGGACCTGAACCCAATCGAGATGGTTTGGGGTGAGCTGGACCGCAGAGTGAAGGCAAAGGTGCCAACAAGTGCTAAACACCTCTGGGAACTCCTTCAAGACTGTTGGAAAACCATTTCAGGTGACTACCTCTTGAAGCTCATGGAGAGAATGCCAAGAGTGTGCAAAGCAGTAATCAGAGCAAAGGGTGGCTATTTTGAAGAAACTAGAATATAAAACATGTTTTCAGTTATTTCACCTTTTTTTGTTAAGTACATAACTCCACATGTGTTCATTCATAGTTTTGATGCCTTCAGTGAGAATCTACAATGTAAATAGTCATGAAAATAAAGAAAACGCATTGAATGAGAAGGTGTGTCCAAACTTTTGGCCTGTACTGTACTTTATCTCTGTTGTGACATTAGACTACTATTGAACATATCCCAGCCAGCCTAACATGGGCAACAACCCACCATTAAACTTAACAACAAGTCAGCTAGTCTTGTGTAAAACCACACCGTCTCCCTCCAACTCTGCCCAGATTGGGTGGAGACAAACTCTGAATTACTTACACACTTTCATGTGTCTTTTAAAATCAAAACTCATTTTGAAATAATGTTTACATCTCTGACCTTATGTCTTTGAGAATTAAAACAAACAAAAATGACATGCAATTTGGGGTTTATGGTGTGTAAAGATTGCAGAGGAGGAGAGGAGAAGCACAGGGTGCACACGTCTGTTCTCTGGGATTCTTAAGAATATTTAAAGCGTATTAAGAAGATAATTATAAGAATTAGTGCGTGACTATTTAAAAAAGAAAGAGGAGAAGGGGAAAATATAAGACAAGAGGAGAGGAGAGGAGAGGAGAGCTCTCAGGGCAAAAGGGCAGGTGCTTGAGCACCACCTGGGGTCAATCTATGCATGTGCCCGATAATAAAAGTGATGTTGCCAGGTACGTGTCCTGTGTCCCTGATGCATTAAAGTCTGAAAGGACATCATAAACTCACTATCAATGCATCCCGGGGACTCATTTTTTTCCCGATGCTACATTGTTAACAACCAATCCATGTTGAAACTGTGGCCTCAGGTGACTTCACTAGAAAGCATTTCTCATATCAGAGAAACCACTGACTCACTCTAGTCTACATATCATAGTGTCTTTGGGCAAGATACTGAACCCCAGTTTGCTCCCAATGGCTGTTCCATTGGTGTGTGATTGCGTGTGAATAGTTACTGAGTAGGAGGTGGCACCTTGTATGGTAGCCTTAGCCACCGGTGTGTGAATGTGTGTGTGAATGGCTGAATGTGACATGTAGTGTTGTAGTGCACTGAGTGGTCAGTAGACTAGAAAAGTGCTATACAAGTCCAGTCCATTTACCATTTGTTCTGGTGCTCTGAACAAATCTGACACCTGTCCACCTGCCCACCTGCTCTCATCCCTGCTCTCACCCCTTCTCGCATCCCTTGCTGCTCTCTTTAATAAGGTTTTCAGATTTGGGATTTTATTTGTTTAACTTTCAAATACATTTTCAACATACATGAATAGAACCATAATTAGAACCACAGAACAGAAAACACCAGTTTAACACTACAATTTGTCATTTTTTTTATTGGGGACCCATTCAAATGACCACCTGTGGGTCCTGGGGACTCACCACATTGAAAACCTATCATTGTTGCTTTAATAATAATTATAATAAATCCTTATTACTAGTGCTTATGGCTCAACACCACTGTTAAAATATAATCCATCAAATAAGAGGTGGAACTGAACTGGACTCGACTGAGTTACGTACCACACTGGCTACTATAAAATGGTGCTGGTTAACCTTAGTTCTTACCATTTCCTGCAGGCTCTTCAGTGATCCCTCACAGGACTGAACCTGCTGCAGCACGGCCCCGTAACTCGCAGCAGGGAATGACCACATTTTGGAGTTCACCTCACAAACGCACGAGCCATTATTCTTCTGGCCCATCACACGCTGAGCCTTGCCAACACCCTGCAGTCACACACACATAAAAACACTGATGTTCAATACAGGAGACTTATAAGGATAGTAAAGAGACTGCACTAAAAAAACTAAAAAAGAAAGAAGAAAAGCCTCAGTTTAATGTTATAAAGTGTTCAAGGACTTTTGTCCTTGGTTTGTAAGAGTAGGAAATCAAGTGTAACTCACTGATGACAGCAGTAGGAGCAGCAGCAGCATGTTTACAGCTGGAGAGATGAATGTTGGACTGACAAGGACAGAAGCTGCCAGTACTGAAATTATCATCCCTCCTCCTCTGTTTTCTCTTATATACTCATTTACAACAAACACACGTTTTCCTGACTGGCTTCTCATCACTAATGAGTCACCACGGAGCCTGAGAACCACTCATGTGGATGTGAAACTCCAAAAATGCAATAGCATGGAGTTTCCCAACGGATGTGCTCAACCCATGAGTTCCTCATATTTCCCCCTTACTTCACCCCTCACCCTCTCACCGGTTATTATTTCCTCTTTGTCATATCCACCTGCAGTGTGTTCCCCTGTTTAAAAAAAGCTTTGCCAGACCAAATGTAAAGAAGTATCTGTCAAAAACACTCTTAAAACATTACAATGCAGTAATGTATTTTATAATGTAAACCAAATACGGTAACACTTTATATTAGGGTACTGTAATAATGCTTAATAAGCACCAATTAACAGTTAATGAGCACTTATAAGACAGAATAAGATGTTTATTACCATTAATAAGACTATATGTGTTAATTATAGCATAATTAACACAGTTATTATTGCATATAGGAGCATTATAAGCACTTAATAGAAACTTAGAAACAGTTTATAAAGCTATCCTAAATATTAATAAGATGTCTGTTTACATTAATTATGATTTATAAGGGTTAATTATAGAATAATAACCACATTTATTACCGGTTTATAAGACACTATAAGACCCTATCAGATTAAATTAATTATCAATTAGTTAATAATGATCCTTTGCAGCTACCAGATCTAAAGTGGGAACAGTGTCGTATAAAGGTTAATAAATCATTAATATGCTCTCAGGGCTTGAAACTAATGGTGTCCCGACGTCCCAGAGACTATAAAAATTGCTACTAGGACACAAAGATGATGTGTCTGGGACAATTCCAGGACAGCAAAAATAAAAGTCAAAGCAATATCAAAATGGGTGTTATTTACAACGTCATTATGTATGGGTATCTGAACGTCGCTCTTGTCGCTTGAATAATTTCAATAAAAACTTATGAACAGCAAAAATACAGTGGCTTTTGCTGCACCTGATCTGGCTCCACATGCGCACGCATGCACACACACGGAACTCAACTCACTACATGGCGGTCACGCTGGGTGCTCGCCACTCCACATCAGAGCACAGAACCTAGCAATGCTGAGATGGTTGAAAAAACTGATGCAAGCTCCTCCAGTGCTGCTCCAGCTGGAGTAGGATGCAACACTTTGCTTTGGGACTCTGAAGACGATGTGCCATCTGTTTCTGCCCCTGTGGTAAGTTAGTTTGTTAAAATAGGCTATAGGCTAACGTTAGCTTGTTGACTTTTAGCTAGTTCTAGTTCATTGCGATAGCTAACACTAGCAACTCAGCTAATCATGTGCATGATGGCCTTACAGAGTTATAAAATGTGACTGTGTGTTCTAAATTTTGATGTTTATGATAATGACGGTAATGTTACAGTTAATCTGAAGAAGTGTAACAGTTGCTCGGTTCATTCAGTCAGTAATAATTAGGCTAGCAACTTTAGTTACAGAAGGTCATGCTTGAAATAGCAGCCAGTGATGTTTCTAAATTTCCTACAGGTAAGCTGAGTATAATGAACACCCAGATAACAGGCCTAGTATGTTTTAGCTGAACCTTAGTGTGTAACTGTGACACTGACATTGACTTTAACCGCGATTAAGTGTGTGTGTGTGTGTGTGTGTGTGTGTGTCGTGGCTCGTGGAGGGTGCCGCTAGAAATAGCTTCAGTAGCTTAGTGCGTCGCTAATGACATTCTGTGTGAGTTAAAGTGAGTGAAATGTGTGTGAAGATGCATATGGTTGAGATACAACAGTAACAATAAATTGTGTGAAGCAGGACGAGCAGAGTGAATGTGTTAGGAGCATCATGAGCTGTGTGTTATGTTGAGCAGGCTAATAGATATAGGCTGCTTCATGTTCATGCTAACTCCTGCTGATTTGCTAACACCATAGCCTGACTTCATTCCTCTCCGTCAGTAAGGTTAAAGGAGCATTTCATACATTTTGGCAATTGAAGTTTGTATCAGGCTCAGTGTGTAAGTGTTTTATTATTGTGAAACCATTGTGAGAGTAATTCAGTACTAGGCTGTGGATTAAAAACAAGGGAAGTTAGATTAAATGTGTTTATGGGTTTAATTCTGAGCCTTCTCTTTCAGAGGGATGGGCTGACATTGCAGATGGGGTCTTGTAGCCATGCAGGTAAACAAAATAAACTCCCTAGAGAGGAATTAATATGCTACGGTGTATGTTTAGCAATCGTGACAGCGAAAGGTTTTTTCTTCTGTATTTCAGACAGTCCCAAGTGGATGATGACTTCCACAAAGTGAAAGATAAACTAATCAATGGCTTCTGTGACAACCTCACCATGCGGTTTGGCAACCTTGATGAGGGTGTCTAGAAGGCTGCTGCCACCATGTATGACCTAAGCAACTGGCCTGAGGACATCACTGACATGGCCGCCTTTGGCCTGGCTGATGTTGAGACTTTTGTCACTCTCTTTCAGAAAACTGATGAGTTACAGGGAGCTTTGTGGAACACTGTATTCCCAAACAGTCAATCTAAGTAACAAAACTTTTGAAAAAGCCAAATGAACTCAGATCTGTCATTTGTTTTTAGAACTCAACTATTAGGGTTTCCAATCCTTTTTTCCTATTTTTGACAATAGTGGTTGCATTAAAAATCAATATGAAAAGGAAATATGTTGTTTTCACCACCATTGGTAGGCTGAATTCTCATCACGAGTGAATAAAGCAACTAACTCTGAATCAATCTACTCCAATTTTTTAAGTTCAAATAACTCATGTTTGTCTCAGGATGCCATTTTGAGGAAATGAGATTCCTATGATCCTTTGCTAAAGAAAATAATAACATACTAGAGTGAAAAGAACGCATCAGAATTCTTTAATGTTGAAATAATGATTGATATCTGGATGTTGCAATAGGCGCATAATTAATAGAATTATTAACTTCAGTGAGTGCATAATAAAGAGTTTATGAATATCAACAAGACATTGTTCCCACTTTAGATCCAGTAGCTGCAAAGATGCAATATGAGCTGTTAATAAGTGCATATTAATGATTTATTAACCTTTATATGACACTGTTCCCATTTTAGATTCAGTAGCTGCAAAGATGCATTATGAGCTGTTAATAAGTGCATATTAATGATTTATTAACATTTATACGACACTGTTCCCACTTTAGATCCAGTAGCTGCAAAGATCATTGTTTACTATTAATAAGTGCATAATTAAGCATTTATTAACCGTAATATGGCATTTATATTAACTTCTTATAGTCTCATTAATGTTAATAAACATCTTGTTAATATTGATAAATTGTCTATAAACTCTTAAGGATGTTCTAGTACCCAAAAATATCTTATAAGCCAATAATAAATGTGTTGTATACTATTATTAACAATCTTTAGGTCTTATTAATATTAATAAACACCTTATTAATTTCATCTTATAGGGTCTTATAGTGTCTTATAAACCAGTAATAAATGTGGTTATTATTCTATAATTAACTCTTATAAATTATGATTAATGTAAATAGACATCTTATTAATATTTAGTATAGATTTATAAACTGTTACCAAAGTTTCTATTAAGTGCTTATAATGCTGCTATAAGCAATATTAACTGTCAGATATGCTGTAATAAACACTTATATAGTCTTATTATGTTATTAATGTTAATAAGCATCTTATACCGTCTTGTAAGTGCTCATTAACTGTTAATTTGTGCTTAATGCTTATTACAGCACCTTAATATAAAGTGTTACCGAAAGGTTTTAGGTTTTAAATGCTGCGATTGGCCTGCTGGCCTGCCTGTCATTTTTTTCCCCCAACAGGCAGGCCAGCGCCGCTATCAGTGGTGCAGTGATACGAGGAGAGGGATGAGGTGTGTGAGGTTGAGCCACTTGTCAGTTGTCAAAAGACAAGACGTGATTGGTTTGTTTAAATTTACAACAGCCACAACAGTCCAAAGTTGTAAACACAGCCAGCATGGTGAGGAGGGGGTTTGTCAACTCACGTCACGTGTGTCTGTGTAGGAGCCTGAATGAATACTCCATGTAGTATTGGATGACATTGTTTCATCGATGTTATCAGCCAGCTTTTTGGTACACAGCGGCTACTGTTGTTGCAATACACGTTTGAAAAAGTGAGGCACTAGAGTGCACTATCCATTTGAATGTAATATACGATTTCAACATTAGATGGGAGAAATTCCTACACACTGTGGCTTTAACCATTCCCAGTTCCTTGGCTGTGTTTACATTTGGGTCCTAAGTTGAACTGTCATAACAGTTTCGTTGTTGAATTTTTAATGTTGAGATGCTGGTCATATTATCTGCCCCGAAAATTCAACAGTTTTGTAGTTAATGCTGTTTTTATTGTTTTTCATATATCCTGTTGCAAATTTAAAAAAAAAAAAAAAACACTCAATGCATTACATTTTTTGGTTTGTTTTTTTCTTTTTCTATTTTTAAAGGAACTACAACTGCATTTTGTTGTGTGATCCTGTGTTGTAAGATGACAATAAATGAACCCTTGAAACTTGACTACTTTCAATGCTTTGGAAACTAGCCTTTCTGATATGGAGATGAGTTAGTCTAGTTATGAGCGTTTTTAGTCTATTTTATGTGGTCAAAATTTTATTGATTGTTGACAGTTTGTCTATTATCCATTACATACAGTACAGGCCAAAAGTTTGGACACACCTTCTCATTCAATGCGTTTTCTTTATTTTCATGACTATTTACATTGTAGATTCTCACTGAAGGCATCAAAACTATGAATGAACACGTGGAGTTATGTACTTAACAAAAAAAGGTGAAATAACTGGAAACATGTTTTATATTCTAGTTTCTTCAAAATAGCCACCCTTTGCTCTGATTACTGCTTTGCACACTCTTGGCATTCTCTCGATGAGCTTCAAGAGGTAGTCACCTGAAATGGTTTTCCAACAGTCTTGAAGGAGTTCCCAGAGGTGTTTAGCACTTGTTGGC